CTCTTCCTTACCCTCAAGTCCACTCTGTAGCAGCCCTGCCTCCTGCACACCCTCCCAAGTCCCATGCTGAACCCCTCCCTTCTGGTCACCTGTTCCACAGCCCCCCACTCCTGTCCCTCCTGGAACCCCTCTCTCTGGGTCTCTTCCCCTTCTTGGGTCCCTGCCTCCTCCCCCAGCTTCTCTCTCCCATCCCCTTTCCTGAATTCCCCTAAACAGCCCCCACCTGGCTCCCCCCTATAGCACCCTACTCTTCTACCTCCCCTGGCCAAGTCCTCCCACACTCTCACATTCCTGGCTTGCGCATCTCAGGATTAACTTCTCCTGCACCAATCTCTGTGGCCAAGGTGAAGTAGGCATCTTTTCAGCTTGTGTCACTTCTGAGTTGTCTCGACATGGTGATGTCTACCGTGTCCATTTTTTCCAAGTTTGTTTCTGGATTTTTCCTGGTCAGTGCAACTCACAAGGGTCTGTATTCAGTCTGGTGAAGCTTTTCCATCTGTTGAAATGAGCATGATCCAACGGTGACCGAGGATCGAAATCTAGCAATGGGGCAGCAGTTAGGTTTATCCTCCACTCCAAGCACCAGCACCCCACATAGATGCAAGTTTGTGTCCTGGCTGCTCCTCTTCCCATCCAGTTCCCTGCTTGTGGCCTGGGAGGATAATCAAGGAGGCCCAGAGCCTTGGGACTCTGCACTCAAGTGGGAGAACCAGGAAAAGCTCCAGGCTTCAGATTGGGTCAGCTCTGGCAGCTGCAGCCATTTGGGGAATGAACCAGCAGATGGAAAAGCTTTCTCTCTGTCTCTCCTTTCTATAAATCTGCCTTTCCAATAAAAATAAATCTTAAAAAAAGATGTCTTGTGGGACGCCTGTATCCCATGTTGGAGTACCTGGTACTCCTCCTTTTCCAATTTCAGATTCTTAATACATACCCTGGGAGGCAGCGAGGATGGCTGAGGAAGTTGGGTCCCGGATGGAGCTCCATGGGAGATTCGGATGGGATTTCGGATGGCTTCTGCTTGACACAGCCCTGCCTGTTGCAGCATTTGGGGAGTGAACCAGTGGATGGAAGAGCTCTCTCAGTGTCTCTCTCTCTCTCTGATTCTAGAATAAATAAATAACCTCTATATTTACAAAAGGGTCCAGCCATGCAGTGTTCAAGTTGTCAGAGTCCTTGCTGAGCTGGCTGCCCCTGGGGTGGAGGAGCCGGGCAACCAGCTCACCTGTAAGCCCCAAGGGGGCGCTGCATGCAGGGTGGAAGAGGCAAGGCCCAGGCCAAGGCTCCAACTGGAGTGGGCAGTCAGGATGAATGTAGCAGGGCTGCCCAACGGTGGCCCAGGTCCCCACTGCTCCCAAGAGCTCCACACTGCTGCTGGGGGCAGGCAGCAGAGGTGGAAGGAGCCCTGCTAAGGAGCACAGCCGAGGCCCCCTGCGATGGCTGTGGGTGGTTGGCACGTGCTGGCAGGGACAGTGTGGCAAGGTTGGGCCCAGGACAGGTCTGGGCCCATCTGAGCTCACGTTGCCCAAGGAGAAAAGCAGTGTTTTGCTGGTAGGCACTCTAGGCCTGGCTAATGCCAAATGTGGGAAAACCTTGGGATTCTGCTCCCACTTGGAAGAAGCTCCTGGCTTTGGATTGGCTCAACTCTGACCGTCTTGGCCACTTGGGGAGTGAAACAGCAGGTGAAAGATCTTACTCTCTGTCTCTCCTTCTCTCTATAAGTATGCTTTTCCAATAAGAATAAATAAATTATTAAAAAGTTATATTTCTTAAAATACTAAAGACAGGGCCCGGCGTGATGACGCAGTGGTTAAGGTCCTCACCTTGAATGCCCGGGATCCCATATGGGCGCCGGTTCTAATCCTGGCGGCCCTGCTTCCCATCCAGCTCCCTGCCTGTGGCCCGGGAAAGCAGCCAAGGACGGCCCAAAGCTTTGGGACCCTGCACCCATGTGGGAGTCCCGGAAGAGGTTCCTGGCTTCGGATTGGCTCAGCTCCAGCAATTGCGGCCACTTGGGGAGTGAATGATCGGACGGAAGATCTTCCTCTCTGTCTCTCCTCCACTGTGTATATCTGAGTTTCCAATAAAATAAATAAATCTTAAAAAAAAAAAAAGCACCCAAGCTGAGAACACTCCAAACATCCACTGACAGGGTGGATAGAAGAGCGGCAGAACCGCACAGCGGAATGCCCTGCAGGGAAATGCAAGGATGGACATTACAGTGGTTCCTGAGCAGGCAGCTGTCCAGGGCATCTTGGGCTTTCCTGCTGCTGCGGCCCCTGGGAGGCAGCAGCTGTGCATGTCCCTGCAACACATGTGGGAGATGTGGATGAAGTTTCAAGCTCCAGGTGGAACCCTGGCCCAGTCTTGCCAGTTGTGGGCATTTAAGGGGTGAACTAACAGACGGAAGATTCTCTCTCTGCTCTTCAAATAAAATAAAAATGGTTGATAATAACAATAATGCTTTAGGCTTTTTTTAAAAAAAAAGATTTCTTTATTTTTATTGGAAAGGCAGACTTACAGAGAGGAGAAACAGAAAGCTTTTCCACCTGATGTTTCACTCCCCAAGTGGCTGCAACTGCTGGAGGTCAGTCAACCCAAAGCCAGGAGCTTCTGCTGGGTCTCCCACGCAGGTGCAGGGTCCCAAGCTTAGGATTGTCCTCTACTGTTTTCCCAGGCCACAAGCAGAGTTGGAACAAAAGTGGAGCAGCTGGGACAGGAACCAGTGCCCATATGGAATCCCAGTGTTTGCAAGGTAAAGATCAGGCAATTGAACCATGGCACTGACTTATGTTGATAATAATTCTTAGTGACAGAAGCCAAATACAACTCAGTCTCCACTGCAGGAATTCATTTCGACACAAGTTCATATGGATCATGCAGACACAAAGTAAATCAAGAATGGAGTTATTTGGGGATGGAGATGAGGGATGTGGGGAAGGATGAGAAAGGAGCAAAGGGACTTTTGAGCGGGGACAGTGGAGAATGTGTTCATCTTTAGAAGATTTATTTAATTAGGGCCCGGCATGATAGCATAATGGTTAAGGTCCTCACCTTGAACGCACCAGGATCCCATATGGGCACCAGTTCTAATCCCGGCGGCTCCACTTCCCATCCAACTCCGTGCTTGTGGCCTGGGAAAGCAGTAAAGGACGGCCCAAAGCCTTGGGACCCTGCACCCATGTGGGAGTCCCGGAAGAGGCTCCTGGCTTCTGGCTCCAGATCGGCATAGTACCAGCTGTTGCGGCCATTTGTAGAGTAAATTATTGGACGGAAGATCTTCCTCTCTGTCTCTCCTCCTCTCTGTACATCTGCCTTTCCAATAAAATAATAAAGAAATCTTTAAAAATTTTATTAAAAAATAAACTTCTACTTTTAAAAAGCTTTATTTAATTTTTATTTATTTATTTATTTATTTATTTATTTTTAAAGATTTATTTTTATTATTTTTCATTGGAAAGGCGGATATACAGAGAGGAGAGACAGAGAGGAAGATCTTCCGTCCGATGATTCACTCCCCAAGTGAGCGCAACGGGCCGATGCTATGCCGATCCGAAGCCAGGAGCCTCTTCCGGGTCTCCCACGCGGGTGCAGGGTCCCAAAGCCTTGGGCCGTCCTCGACTGCCTTCCCGGGCCACAGGCAGGGAGCTGGAAGGGAAGCAGGGCTGCCGGGATTAGAACCGGCGCCCATATGGGATCCCGGGCGTGCAAGGCGAGGACTTAACCACTTGCGCCACCGCGCCGGGCCCTATTTATTATTTTTTAAAGATTTATTTTTGTTGGATAGGCAGATTAATGGAGAGAAGGAGGGACACAAGGAAAGAATCTTTGTCCACTGGGTTATTTCCCAAGTAGCAGCAATGGCTACAGCTGAGCTGATCTGAAGCCAGGAGCCAGGAGCTTCTTTTGGGTCTCCTCCCAAGTCTCTGGGCCATCCTCTGTTGCTTTCCCAGGATACAAGCAGGGAGCTGGATGGGAACTAGAGCAGCCAGATTACGCAAGGTGAGGATTTATGCACTGAGCCATTTGCACCCAGCACTGGGGCGGCCACCTGCTGCCCCCCTGGGGAAGCAGTGCATTAAAGAATAGGAAGACAGAGCTGTGACTGGAAGGTAGTGGTGGGGGCGCTGTGATTCAGGTCTGGGGTGTCCCAAGCCCAACCTCCTGAGACACATCAAGATGGGGAAAATCAAATTTCAAGCCATTTCCAAGACACAGAGGTAGCTTGCTCTGCTCCCACTGGAGACCCTTGTACCCTGCCTATCCAGGATGCTCCATCTGGTGCTCTCCGGAGGAGTCCTCCTTGGGCCTTGCAGCCTTAGCTTAAGGACTTCCCTCTGGTCCCCTCATTTCCAATCCCAACACAACTGTCACCTCTTCAGGGAAGCCCTCTTGACTGTGGCAAAGCGGGACCAAGCCCTCTCACTGCTGCTGGGGTTTCCTGGAGCCTTTCCTGAGATGCGGACTCCTCCCAGCCCTGGTCCAGCCTGGGTTATCAAGACAGACGACAGGTGGAGCATCTGCACGAATACCTGGGTTCCAACAACCCATTCCACAGAAGAGAAGACTGAGACTTGGAGAAGTGAAGGGATTTACCTGAGCTGAAGGCTCTGAAATAGGGTACAGGGCGGGGATGAGAAATAGCTCTAGGTATCTTAAGCATCCCCTCTCCCTCCCCAAGGTGGGAGGGGCGTGCCTGGGTGGGCGTGAGGGAGCGAGCGGGCGGGGCAGTCGTGGTGAATGGGGCGCAGATGTCGGGATGGCACGGAGAAATCGGTTCGTGCTGGATGAAGCCGGGCGCGTCTTCTCCCCGCGCGCCCAGGGGTGCGGTGCCACCCCCTTCCCTGCCCCCGCCAGCCCGGCGGCGCGGTCCCTTTAAGAGCGGGCGGGGCGCCCCCTGGCGGCGGAGCCGCAGCCGGATCCCGGATCCCGGAGCCGGAGCCGGGGCGGAGCGGGCCGAACGGGCCGAGCCAGCAGCCGAGCTGGGGGCGCGGGCGGGCGGCATGTACCGGGCCCGGGCGGCGCGGGCGGGGCCGGAGCCCGGCAGCCCGGGGCGCTTTGGGATCCTCAGCACCGGGCAGCTCCGGGACCTGCTTCAGGATGAACCCAAGCTGGACCGGATCGTGCGGCTTAGCAGGAAGGTAGAGCGCGGCGGGGCTGCGAAGAGGGGGCGCGGGGGGCCGGGCCGCGGCCTGGCCGGGACCTGCCTGCTTGCCTGTCCGCCCCGGGGCGCAGGGCCGCGCGTGCCCGGCGGGGGGCACGGAACGAGTGATGGGGGACCCCTGCGGAGCCGCCCCCCCCGACCCCCGGGGGTGGGGGATGGAAAGGGGGTACCGGGCTCCGGCCTGGGGCGGGTCGGGGAGGTGCCCGTGCCCGCCCCCCCACTCCCAACGCCCGGGCTGGCCGCGAGGCGTGTCCTACGGCGGATGCTCCGGGGAGGTGTGTTCGGGGTGGGGGGCAGCGGTTGGTCGTGGGGTGTGTGGGGAGGGATTGGGGGGAAGGTGGGGGGCTTTGGCTCGCACGCGCAAACCAGTGCCCAGAAAGGGGAGGCGCCTTCCCGAGGGAGGGAGCGCTGGAGCGAGGTTGAGGGGGCTGGCTGGACGCCTGGGGGGACCCCTGCGAGGGGGTTGGGCACGGGGAGGGGGGGCGACAGCGGCGCGCGCACGCAGGGGAGCTGGGTACCCCGCGCTGGGGAGGGGGCCTGAACCAAGCCGAGCTGTGTGTGTGTATTCCTCGGTAGGCCACCATAGGAGAAAGTTGTGTATTTTCCAGAGATAGGCCTGGGCTGCTGGGCTGTTTGGGGAGGCACGGGGGGGGGGGGGGGGGGGGAAGTGTGTGTGTGTGTGTGTGTGTGTGTGTGTGTGTGTGTGAAGGAGGAGCAGGTGTTCCTGCCACCTGCCAGGGGATGGGGTTGGGGGGCGGGAAACGAGGTCTCCACGGCAGGGAGGGGGCCTGGCCCAGGGATGGGGCTCTGCTCTGTGCAGGAAGTGGGAAGCAGGGTGCTGGGGTATCAGAGTGGAGAGGGGTGCGTCTGTGTGTATGTGTGTGTGTGTTCTTGGTAGATATGGATGGGGGGGCCTGGGAGTTCCGCTTTGGAGGAGAGAGAAGGGTGCGCTGTGAGGACAGGGGGTGTGTTCTGGAAAGGGGCAGGGTGCCCACCTCACTGTGGAGAAGGTCGGGGTTGTGGGCAGGGACACCTGAGGAGGAAGCAGACAAAGCCTTGGAATGCCAGGGCAGCTGCCCAGGCATGGAAAATGGGACAGCGGCAGGAGGCGGGCTCCTCCCAGGACCCTGGGCACACAGATTAATTGAAAGATTACAAATTAACTACTGTTTGTAGAGGCCACCACAGGGATGTGTTTCTCTCTCGGGTCTCACAGTTACCCCACATGGTAGGAGCCCAGGGTACAAACCCCCCTCCCTGCCCAGCCCAGCCCCCTCCACCTGTGGGCAGGTGCCTTGGGCTTGGCGCCCTGGGGGGTAAGCTGGGGGTGGACTCCCTGATTATCCCCCTATGTTGGCAGTTCCAGGGCCTGCAGCTGGAGCGTGAAGCTTGCCTGGCCTCCAACTACGCGCTGGCCAAGGAGAACCTGGCCCTACGACCTCGCTTGGAGATGGGCCGGGCTGCCCTGGCCATCAAGTACCAGGAGCTGCGGGAGGTGGCTGAGAACTGCGCCGACAAACTGCAGCGACTAGGTGAGGGAGCTCGGGACGGGTGTGGGGAAGAGGGGAATTGGGAAGAGTTGTTTTGGCTTTGGTGGTGGGTTGTGCTGCCCATGGCCTCCTACAGAATGGAAGTGAGGAGCAGGCAGGGTTGAAAGAGGGAGCTTGTAGTAGGGGCTTCAGCCCTGGGCTGGTATGGGGTGGGGTGGGGTGGAGGTGTGTTGAGCCGTGGCAGCAACAATGTCCAAACCCATCATATGGATACTGCTCAGACAGGGAAACAGCAGGGCCCAGTGTGATGGCTCAGTGGCTGAATTCTCACCCCACAAGTGCTGGCATCCCATAGGGATGCCAGTTTGTGTCCCAGCTGCTCCACTTCCCATCCAACTCCCTGCTTGTGGCCTGGAAAAACAGTAAAGCCTTGGGACCCTGTACCTGCATGGGAGACCCAGAAGAAGCTCCTGGCTTCTGGCTTCGGATCGGCTCAGCTCCAGCCATTGTGGCCATTTGGGAAGTCAATCAGAAAATAGAAGATCTTTCTCTCTGTCTTTCCGTAAATCTGATCTGCTTTTACAATAAAAACAAAAATAAGAAGACAAGCAGCAGGGGGAGGGAGTGGGAGAAGCAAGAGACATAGAAGGCCACACGGAACGACAATGAGTCCGTCCAGGGTGACTAGCTTGCCCTGGAGGGCAGGGGCCGCTGAGGGTCACTCGCCATCCTTATGTCTCCTCAGAGGAGAGCATGCACCGCTGGAGTCCCCACTGCGCCCTGGGCTGGTTGCAGGCCGAACTAGAGGAGGCGGAGCAGGACGCTGAGGTGAGGGGACGGGTGGCCAGGCCAGGGCCTCTTGGGAGGGCCAGGCTGGCGAACCCCACCTGCAGGAAACCCAAGTATGGCTTCTCTGGGCCCCCGTGGAGCCGCTTCCAAGTTGTCCCCCTGCCCGCCCCTGTCCCAGGAGCAGATGGAGCAGCTGCTACTCGGGGAGCAAAGCCTGGAGGCCTTCCTTCCCGCCTTCCAGCGTGGCCGTGCCCTGGCCCACCTGCGTCGGACCCAGGCGGAGAAGCTGCAGGAGCTGCTGCGGCGCAGGGAGCGCTCTGGCGCCGGCCAACCAGCCCCCTCTGCGCCCTCGGAGCCTCCCAAGGCCTTTCCCGCGGCTGCGGCTGTGCTCCCCACAGGGGCCGCCCGGGGACCGCCGCCAGCAGCTGCGGCTGTGCCCCGGAGCCTGCCCCCTTTGGACTCCCGCCCAGTGCCCCCGCTGAAGGCCTCCCCCGGGTGCCCCCTCGGCCCCGCTCCTCTGCTGAGCCCCCGGCCCTCGCAGCCCGAGCCCCCCCACCGGTAGGATTTAGGGTGCGGTCCCCCGGCATGGGACCCAGACAAACTTGATGCAGAGGGGGAAAGGGGGACTCCTCCTCCTCTCCCCCAAAACTGCCTGGGTGGGGGGGAGGGGCAGGCCCCTCCCCCCTGGCTTCAGGCAGGTCCCCCACCCTGGCCCTGGAGGCTGAGCTGGGGAGGACTTGGGTCACCTGGACACAGAGGGTTGGGGGGGTGGGCAGGTGCCAGGGCTTAGGGGGCACTGAGGCACCTCTGCCTTTTTTTTTTTTTTTTCTTTTTTTGGTCTCCCACTTTGGGTCGTCCAGGGTGGTGGGCCAACCTTCAAGAAAGAACTTTCGTCACCTTCTAGGGGAGGCCTGGGGCCCTGCTGCCCCACTCTGGGCTCGTACAATGCCAACGCCAAGGCTAAGCAGGAGTGCTCTCCATCATATCCTCCCCCACACCGTGTGGAGCCTACCTTTGCCTCTTTCCCCCTACCCCCCGAGTTCTGGGGCACACTATCCTGGAGCCAGGTGGGCCGCCCCCAATGATGGGGCCTGTGTGCCCTGCTAGCTAGTTGGCTCGCTTGCTGGCTCACTCACTCGTTGGCGCTCCGGACCCCACTGGGGGCAAGGTAGGGCCAGGAGCTTCTGACCCGCACAGGTGAGAGTGGGCCGTCTCCAGGAAAAGACTGTCCTGTATTTTTTCTGTCCCCTCCCATCTCCTTAGAATGGAAGCTTTCCGAGGGCAGGTCCTTGTCTTTGTATGTTCTGTCCCCAGCCCCAGCCCCTAGGGGTCGTGAATAAATGTGATGATGAGGATGCCCGGCAGCCCCCTGAGTCCTCTCTGCCCACCTCGTCCAGGAAGCCTTTCCTGATGGCCAGTCCTCAAGAGCCTCTCTTAATTGACCTGAAGCCCCATCTTGGCTCTCAGTGCTCCCACTTGTCTGTGTGACCATCTTTTCTGGGGTCATTCATAAGCCCAAACAGGGTGGTACTTGGGCCTTCTCTGGTCTGGCAGATCGCCACGCCCACCGAGTGAGCGATGGAGGGGGTTGTGTCAGACCCCATGCACTGGTCTTCAGCTGGGTGGCAGGGAGTGGGGCAGAGTGGGTGGGTGAGCAAGGACGTGGCTTGGGTCAGCTTAGGTTAAGCCTGAAGGGTGAAGAGGTCTGAAAGGGTTTGTACATAAGGTCTGGGGGTGGGGGGAAAGGGGTCAGCAATCTGCTGTGTGTGTGCCCAGCAAAGCTGATGTCAGTGTGGTCAGTATTCGCAGAAATAGAACCTTCTAGAACGAGGCAGGTATGATTCGGTTGTACTTCTCGCTGGAGAATTGCGCTGCAAGAGGGACCTGTGAAAATGGCGCATGCGTAGTGACAGTGACGAGGGACACGATTGTCCCACAAGAAGGTGTTGAAGGCACGCTTCCATCATTGGGTCACGTGTGCATGCGTGCACGTGTGTGTGCGCGGGAGATGTCGCGTCTTTGGATCTCAAAGCACTCGGGTTTGGGGAGGGGTGGAAATCATGGGGAACCAGAAGTGCACCCCATGTGTTGCTTGCGAAATTGAGTCTTCTCCCAGAGGTAGAGTTGGTGCTCTCTCCTGAGATGGTTGTCCCATGGGACCGGGCCTGCTTGTTGGAGTTGACGGCCCCTCACTGAGCTCTAGCGCATCCCTCTAGACCTGGAGGTGGGCACACGCTCACACCACTTACCTTTCCCTCCGGTTAGCACCTCCGAGCCTTCCTCCACTATCTGACATTGAGGAGCAGAGCAGCTACTCCTCGGGGCCTGGCTCTTGGCTTTCCAGAGACAGCAGAGGAAAAGACCCTCTGTATGAAGGGACTGGCATGGTGCAGTGGGTTAAGCTGCTGCCTGGGATCCCCATCTGCTCCATTTCAGATCCAGTTCCCTGCTCATTTTCATTTCCCGCCTGGAAAAGCAGCAGAAGATGGTCCCGACACTTGATCCCCTGGCACCCATGTGGAAAGCTGGATGGAGCTGCTGGCTCTGGACAGGACTGTTGTGGCTGTCTGGAGAGTGAACCAGTGGATGGAAAGCTCTTCTCTCTTTGTAAATCTGCCTTTCAAACACGCACACACATGGAAAGGAAAGACACAGGCAAGAGAGGAGCTGGGGTGACGAGTGCTACCATGGGAAGCAGGCAGGGTCTTTCCAAAGGACCTCCCACACATCTCCTTTTCCACAAAGAGCTCAGACTCCAGCTTTCCAAGGGTTGGAAAAGCTGGCTGCCCTCGGGGTTCAGCTGTTGCCTGAGGAAGACCTGAGGCAGATGGGGAGGGACCCTACCAGTGTGTGGAATTATACCTAGTTCTTCCTGGGGCCAGAAGAAAGGCCCAGAGTGGTCTTAAAAACAACGAACAAACAAACCAAATCTTCATGTATTCGAGGGCACATGGAATGTTCTGGAAAGTTCCAGAAGGTTTCAGGCAATCTGGGTTCTCCCTTCAACTGGCCAGTTCTTAGAATGTTCTGTATCTAGGTTCCTGGGGCCCCAGAGATTGTTGCTACTATGTCTGATCCTCTGTGAGAGAGCAAGCTTGGGGAGGTGGGAGCATGTGTGTTGAGGGGGAGTTCACATGAAGGAATCTGATAAAGATCCTATGACAGCCAGTCAACCAGCCCCCAAACTCCACCCAAATGGTGAAACTACCCATTTTCTATTTAAAAAATAAAAATGTTGCCTTTAAAAGCATCATTAGGAATCATTTAGGAATAAGCATCATTTATGAATCTCTAGCTTCTGCTTTTCCTAAGCTTTTTTTTTTTTAGAGAGATTTTGTTTATTTTTATTGGAAAGGCAGGTTTACACAAGAAGACACAAATCTTTCATCCGCTGGTTCACTTCCCAAGTGGCTGCAACAGCTGATCCGAAGCTAGGAGCCAGGAGTTTCTTCCCAGTCCCCCATGTGGGTGCAGGGGAAAGATTAGCCAGTTGTGCCGGGCCCTCCCCTCTTGTTTTCCAAGAAAACAAGAAATAATGACATGGACTCAAGGCTCCCCGAGGTGAGCAGGCCTGAACCGCAGAGTACTCCATGTCAAACTGCAGCTAAGAGCTTGCCCCTGACCCCAGCCGGGGCAAGAGAGAGGATTGAATGTTTCCAAAGTGTCAAGTTGGCTGAAGCTGCTGCAGATTCCTCCCTGTGCATCTCAAGCTTCCACGGAAGATGGGATGAGTCACTGTAATGCACCCTAGGGCCGCTGGCTTGGCCTGCAGCCTCACCGCACCTGTCAGCCTCAGAGCATCTTTCCATCCCTACAGGGAGTAAGGTGCCGCCCTGCATCCTTGCAGGCTCGTGTAGCAATGGGATGCAGCTTAGGGCGTTGCACACTCCAGCATCTGTAGAGACTAAAGAGGTGACACAGTTGCAAAGCAGTCCAGCTTTTTGTTTGTTTGAAGGTTTATTTGTAAGACAGAGAGCTCTTTCACCTGCTGGTTCAATCCCCAGATGGCCTCTAATGTCCGAATCTGGACCAGGCCAGAACCAAAATTCCAGGAACCTGGGTCTCGCGTGTGGGTTCAGAGGCCCAGGGACATAGGGCATGTGCTGCCTTATCAGTCGCATTAGCAGGAAAGCTGAACTGGAAGTAGAGCCGCCAGGACTTGAACTGATATGGGATACTGGCCTCGCAGGATGTGGCTTAAGTCACGGCACCATGTTACTGGCACAGCCCATGCCCGCCAACAAATGCTCCCAGCACCCCCCACCTCATTTACTGGAAACTCATGATCCTGTTTATATGGTTTCCAAGGTTGCTAAGATTGGGGGTAAGGAAATGACTTCCGTAGCCACTGGTGGTAGATAAAGACCTGGCACATTTCACCTCTGTGGAGGGAAGGGGAGCGGCTAGGGGGTGGGGCCTCTCTGCTTCCAATCCCAGCTTCTTGCTAACCCAAGGCAGCAGGTGCTGGGCACCACCAACTCCGACTAGCTGCCCCTGTGGGAGGCACAGGCTGAGCTCTGTGCTCCCAGCTTTAACCCTGCCCAGTTTAGCTGCCTGTGGGCATCTGGGGAGTGAACCAACAGATAGGAACCACCTCAGTCCTTCAAATAAATAAAAAGTAAAATAATAATAATATGAAAAGCAACGGGTGTGTGTTACTTGGCTTCTCCTATGACCGTAAGAGAATTAGGAGAGTTCAAATTTGGAAAAGCCATTGATCTGAAAAGCAGAGACTTGGGGACATGCACCATCTGCTGAGTCACTCCCCAAATACTTGCAAGCGCTGGGGCTGGGCCGGGGGAAGCCAGGGGCTGGAAAGTCCATCCGAGTTTCCCCAGGGGGCGATACTCAAGGCAGCCTCTGCTGCCACCCAGGGTGTGCGTTAGCAGAAATTTGGGACATGAAGTGGACATGGGATTCAAACCAGGCACTCTTGTAAGGGAGGGAGGCCTCCCAAGGGATGTTTTTTCTTTAATTTTCCTTTTTTTTTTTTTTTCCAATAAGCTTTCATCCATTAATTCACTCCCCAAGACCCGCAATGGCTGAAGTTGCGCCAATCCGAAGCCAGGAGCCAGAAGCCTCCTCTGGGTCTTCCATGCAGGTGCAGGGTCCCAAGGCTTTGGGCCGTCCTCCATTGCTTTTCCAGGCCACAAGCAGGGAGCTAGATGGGAAGCGGGGCTGCCGGGATTAGAACCGGTGCCCATATAGATTCCTGGCACGTGCCACCAGCACGCCATGATGATGCCAGCCTCTTGCAAGATACCTCCTTTGGATTAACAGCAGGTGCCCTTATTGGGCTGAGGATGTGAGGGAGGAAGGACCAGCCCAGAAATGTCCATAGTGCCACTGACCATCGGGGCAGATGGTGAGAGCACTCTACAAACAGTGAGAGCTCCGGGTACGCTTGAGGTTGGGAGGCCAGGAGTCTGCCCTCACTGGGGTCTGACACGTGAGCCTGAAGGACACTTAACTCCCTACACAAGCCTGCACGTGGAGCGGGGATTCCCCAGGACCCCTTCTTGGGCAGGTGGCAATGTGTGGTTTCATCACAGGCCTGGGGAACCCTGGAGAGGAGACAAAAGGCCATTTGGAACCCGCCTTTCTGGTGCATGGAATTCCAGAATGTTCTAGAGCTGCCCCTTCTCTCAGCCTGTTTTCACAGAGCCTTCCAAGAAAGCTCATGGTTCAAAGACACTGGGCTCTGCCATGTCCAACAAAGGAGTATTGGAGGGGCAGGAGGGCACTCGATGCCTCCGCCTCAACTGGTGGCTCTTAGGAACTTCTGGCTCAGCCAGTGCACGACCCAGTGGGTAAGTCCCTGTGGTAATCATCTCTGGTCCTAGTGGAACAAAGGCGCACCCAGAGAAGTTAACACCGGACATCCGAAGGAAGCAAGCAGGACCCTGAGGGGTCCTTCTGCACAGAGGCAAAAGGGAAAAAGCAGCTGGGCCCAGGAGGCAGAAGTCACAGCCAAGTCCAAAGGTTCCCTTGCCTGGCGCACTGAACACAGCCTGGAGCAGGCTGGGCGCCTCCCACCCTGGCTGAGCAACCTGAGCCTGCCTTCATCACCAGGAATGCGGTAATAAACCAAACCTACAAGGTGTGTGTGCGGTGCTAATTAACAGGCACCAACAACAGCTCCCGGACCGTGTCAGGGAGAAGGGGCTGGCGGTGGCCTAAAAAGGCCCTAGGCAGGCAGGGGTGGCCAACCATCAGAGTGGACGCCCTTGGCTCCGGGGTTGGATCACACTGATGCATCTTACAGGACAGCAGTGTTTTGCGGGTTGGACTCCCCTCCCCCAAAGCCTTCTTTTTATGTACCACCAGGTCTGGGGGGCAGAACATCTTCGAACTATCATCTTGGTAGAGGGAAAACAAACTTGAGGGGTGTGACGTAAGGGGCCCAGGGTATGAGAGACTGCTCAATAGTGCTCCCACAAATCCACTAGGAGACCCTAACCTGATGGAAACCCACAAATTGGTCAAGTCCCTGGGCTTTTCTTACAGCTCTCTTCTTGTTGGCACTCATTTGCTTCTGCCAGTTTCTTTCACTAAATTCCAACCCCCCTCACCCCTGCCAATGTTAATTCAACAAGATGTTCCAAAGTTATTTTCCAAATACGAAACAGAACAGCAGTGTATGCTCTCTCACAAAGCACCTCCCCCCTGCCCCAGTTTTCTCCCCGCTTTGCCCCAGGACAGTCTGAACCAGGGTGGGCTCACCCTGATTACTGACAAGCTATGAAGTGAGAGCCCAGCTCCACCTCGCACCCCAGGGACTCCCGCCACTTCAAGGGCCAGATTGGGACAAGGTGTGGGCCGAATCCTAATTTACACAAGGATTTGCACCCAAGACGCTGAGCTGCCACACACCTCTGCACCTTTGCAGACCCTGGACTTGGACCGTCTTGAGCTCTGGACCCCTTACTGCAAACTCCCATGGCCTCAGCTTCAGGGCCAAAGCCAACTTGCCGCACTGTCACCCCCTTGGAGCCATTGCAGGGCAGATCTGGCCAGCTCTCAGTGGCTCGCTCCCGGAGGCCTGTGTCTGTGCAGTGCCCAGCAAGCCTCACCCAGTCCTGCCCACATCAGACTTCCCCAGCATCCATGACTTAACTTGATGAGGCTGGCGTGGGGCCGACACACAGGCAGGGGAGTCGAGCTGAATGTGTCCCCTGGGAAGGGGAGGAGGACAGGCCGGTAAGGGGATGTTGATCAGGTGACAGGCACTGCGTCCAAACAACAACGTTGGCCTCTACCAGCACGATGGGGCAGACCTGTAGGTTAGAGGGGGTGGAGGATAGGGAGACATGCCTGCCACACCACCAGGCTCACAGACAGGCACATGGGGCGCTTCTGCTCCATTCCCTAGCCAGCCCACTTCCACCCACCACACACAGGAGGGGAGTGAGCTTAAGGATGACCACCTCAGATTGCACTCTGACCCCGGCCAGGGGTGAAGTGGCAAGTGTCACCTATAGTTTAGAAGGACTCAGGGAAAAAAAAAAAGATTCGCTTTCATAGAATCCCAGCATGTCTCTTTTGGCAGCCAATACGGGGGCAATATTGCACGTTTTAAGGGTACAGAGAGCCCCTGTCCCCCACATCCCCTCACACAGAGGGGCTTACAATAAAGACAAGAGAGCAAATATTCCAGACATTGATACAGAAAGTGCTACTAGTGCTGCTCAAGGCACCGGGACCAATACTTCACTTGGGCACACAAAAGTCCCTCTGCTGGACCCTCGGGGAGGGATGTAGCTGGGCAGGTGGGGGAGTTCAGTTCTGGGGATCCCAGTAGAGGTAGACTACAAAGGTCAAAGGGCGCTGTTGTCCTGGCACTGACAGAGCTGGGGTCCACTCTTCCCGCCTTTCCTCTCCGATCACATCCGAAAGCCGACAGCGATGAAGGCGAAGAGGAAGAGGAAGATGAAAGTGGTGTCCCGGACCTCGTCCCATTTGAAGCCCTTGGTGGCCCGGTCCTCCTGCTGTTTGCGCAAGGCCTCCCGCCGGGCCCTCAGGCGCCGTTCCCGCTCCAGCTGCTCACCGTAGTGAGCCTGGTAGAAGGCGTCGAAGTTGAACATGGTACGGTGGGCGCCGCCGGGGGCTCCCCGACTTTCGTGGGGGGCCCGTGCGGCGGACGGCGAGGGCCGGGGCGGGCTGGGGTCGGCGGCGTGCGTCTTAGAGGGTCGGACCCCGGGGCCGCGCAGGTCCTGGTCGCTGAGCAGCCCGCGGTCATATTTACGACGGAGCGTGGCACTGCCCAGCACGAGGTAGGCCTGGGAGATGCGTGTGAAGCGTTCAGCAGCCTCGGGGCTCCCCGAGTTGCGGTCCGGATGGTAGAGAAAGCTCTGCCGGTAGTATGCCGCCTTGATCTGCGCCTGCGTGGCTGTGGAGGGCACGCCGAGCAGCTCATAAAGCTCCGTCCTCGAGTATGGGCCGTCGCTGTGGGAACAGGACCTGGCTCGCAGGCCCCCCACGCCGGACACCTGACTTGGAGGACAGACCCGGATCCTCCACAACCTCCACAGGACCCGCCGCGGCCACCCGGCGCCGCACGCGGCTGCCATCTTGAGTGGGTCAGGTGGGCGGTGCCCGGCCAATGGGAAGCGAGGAGAGTTCCCTTGGAACCAACCCAGTCCAGAAGGAGGCGGGAGCAAGGAGGCGAAGCATGCGCATTTGGGAAGCGGACGCGGAACTGATGAAATAAAAGGGAGCTCCCGGGGCCGGCGTGTTCCTGAGACGCGACCATGGCGTCTCGCGGCGGGCGTCCCGAGCACTGCGGACCAGCCGAGCTGGTGAGGCACCTCATCCTTTTCCAAGCCCCTTCTGCACCCCTGTCCTTGTCATGCCCTCTTCCAGCTGCCGTGTCTCTCTTTTCTCTTTGTCGCAGTTTTACGACCACAATGAAGCGCAGAAATACGTTCGGAAGTGAGTCGAGATTGGATTGTTCCACGGGCGTCGGGAAAGCCGCAAGTCGTACCCGGCTACCGGGGCCTTGCTTTGGGTGGGGGGAGCTTGTGTTAGAGTTTGGGGAGATGAGGAGGGTCTGTGTCCCCAGCATGAAGAAGTGGACGTGGTTACACCTGCCCCCCACTTCCCCTCCCACCCACAGGTGGCTGTCAAGGTTTAGGGGCACAGCTTGTTATGTGCATGAAGGAGGTGAGGAGGAACTAAGAGAATACAGCTTGTGTTCCTCTGGTCTTTCTGAGTCAGTCTTTGCGAGCACCGTTGCACAGAGGCAGGGACCGAATGCCTTTAAGACGAGTCAAAGCTGGAGGGGGTGAGGGCTCGCAAACCTGACCTCTCCGTAGACAACGCTGCACTGGCTCATCTCCTTTCTATCCAGATTGAAAGTCCCAAGACACAGGCTCACCAGGGCTCCCTGGCCCACTTGTTAAACTAGGATTCCAGTTGCATACACACCCCCCCCCCCCCCCCAGTTAGGCGTTTGGAAAGCAACTTTGTGTAATCCTGGCTATAGATACCGTGGTAGGTTACTCCCAAGTGACTATGTAGGCAGAAATGTCAAGTTTTGTTTTTTTAAAATTAATTTTTGGTGTGTTGATGGTTGGAACTGAGGTTAGAGGCCGTTGTGATGGCTCAGTTGGCTAATCCACTGCAAGCACTAGGATCCCATATGGGCACTGGTTCATATCCTGGCTGTTCCACTTCCCGTACAGCTCCCTGCTTGTGACCTGGGAAAGCAGTGGAGGACGCCCCAAAGCCTTGGGACCCTGCACCCACGTGGGAGACCTGGCTGTTGCGGCAGGAGCCAGGAATGAACCCGTGGATAGAAGGAAGATCCTTTCTCTCTGTGAATCTGCCTGTCCAACAACAACAACAAAATAATCTTTTAAAAAACTTACTGGGTTAGGTAACTATTTCTGCCATTTATTTTGCTGCATTCTTTAATCTCTTGTCTGACTGACTAATGTATATTTTATTCCCCTGACTGGCACCACCAGACCTTCTTGTATTTTTGTGCCTTCAAAAACCTGAGGAAGGTAAAATTCAGAGAGTGGTTTGATTGCCGATCTGGAGTCAGGAGCCTCTTCTGGGTCTCCCATGTGGATGCAGGGTCCCAAGGTTTTGGGCTGTCCTCCACTGCTTTCCCAGGCCACAAGCAGGAGTTGGATGGGAATTGGGGCCACCAGGAATAGAACTGGTGCCCATATGGGATCCCAGCACATGCAAGGTGAGGACTTTAGCCACTAGGCTACCACGCTAGTTCCCGGGGATCACTTTTACATAGCTCTGATGTATGTTTGTTGGTGTCAAGTTGGAATTACAGAGATTGGGAAAGACACCTCCAGGTGATGCTCCCCCCCCCTCCCGCTGTGGGGAAGTGATACTCAGAATCCCTTGACCGCTCACTCATTCTGGCTTTTGCAGCTCCCGCATGATCGACATTCAGACCAAGATGACTGGCCGGGCGCTGGAGCTCCTGAACCTGCCAGAGGGTCAGCCATGTTTCCTGTTGGACATTGGGTAAGGTCTGCCTGGGATTCCCCCCGACCTATGACTGGAGCATGGGGTGACTCAGGCATGGGATGCCATCCCTGCTGCTCACACTGAGCGTGCATCTGTCTGTTTTCCAGCTGCGGCTCTGGGCTGAGTGGAGATTACCTCTCAGAGGAGGGACACTACTGGGTGGGCATCGACATCAGCCCAGCCATGCTTGGTAGGTCAGGCTGGTCCAGGGCTGGGTCGCCACCTGCATGGTACAGAACCCATACTGACTGCCTGCCCCCCGCCCCACTCCCTCTTCTTGCATCAGATGCGGCCTTGGACCGAGAAACCCAGGGAGACCTGTTTCTGGGTGACATGGGCCAGGGCATCCCCTTCAAGCCAGGCTCCTTTGACGGCTGTATCAGGTGAGGGGGCTGCATGTAGGGTCTGAGCCTTTGTTGAGTAGTGCTTTTTTTGTTAAGATTTTTTAAAAATCCACTTGTTCACTCCCCAAATGGCCACAGTAGCCAGAGCTGAGCCAGGCTGAAGCCAGAAGCTAGAAGCTTCTTTGAGGTCTCCTGCCTGGGTGTAGGGGCCCAAGCACTTGAACCGTCTGCAGTTTTCTTGGTTGCATGCATGAGCAGGGAGCTGGGTGGGAAGTGGAGCAGCCGGGATTTGAATGGGGCCTACCTACAGCCATACCACCCCAAACACGCCCGATGTCGTCTGAACGGGGCCCAGATGACGTGCTTTGTTAAGCTTTGCAGGTGCAACTTAACACTCCCTCCCCCCCGCCCCCAGTCCTGTGTCTCACTGCCAGCTCCAACATCAAGCTTTGTGCATGTTGTATAGGATATAGATAAACTGGCCTTGGTCCATGGAAATTACTCTTAGACACACGAGGCTATTCTGGGTCTCTTATGGTAGGTGGTTAGTTCTGTATAGCACTAGTCATATTTTGTTGATGGTGGAGACACAGAAGCTACTCCCTACTAAAGTGCCCAGGAAAGCACTCAGAAAAACAAGGCTGAGGGCAGGCTCCCTGGGCTGGCTGGAGGGGTGAATGCCACCCCTAGCACGCCCCTGGAGAGGACCTGCCTGGAGGGGACCCAGGAAGGCTGGTGGAGGGGTCCCACAGAGGCCCGGAGCCTCTCCCGATGAGTTCCCTTCCCGTCGCTCAGCATCTCGGCCGTGCAGTGGCTCTGCAGTTCCAACAAGAAGTCCGACATCCCGGCCAAGCGCCTCTTCCGCTTCTTCTCTTCGCTCTACTCGGTTCTCGTGAGTATGTGTGCTCCCTTTGGCTCGTCTGTGTTTTCCATGCGGGCTGGCTGCCCGGCCCCAGCCCTGCAGGCAGAGGGGTGGGAGCTAGGATGCCCCTGGGAAGGCAGGAACCGCCTGGGAAGGCAGAGCTTTATCACTGTTGCTTTGGTCCTAACTAAGTTCACACTCAGTGCCCCGGCACAGTCCCATCAAATCCGGAAGATGCTGATGGCAGAACCCAAGCCCAGGCAACTCATGAACTTGACCTAGGGCCTACTTGGTGTGGAGCACAGACACAATGTGACCATGTGTGTTAAATTTTTTTATTAAAGATTTATTTGTTTTTGTTGGAAAGGCAGATATACAGAGAGAAGGAGAGACTGAGAGGAAGATCTTGTGTCTGCTGATTCACTCTCCAAGTGGCCACAACGGCCAGAACTGAGTTGATTCAAAGCTAGGAGCCAGGAACTTCTTCTAGGTCTCCTACGCGAGTGCAGGATCCCAAGGCTCTGGGCCATCCTCGACTGCTTTCCCAGGCCACAGGCAGGGAGCTGGATGGGAAGTAGAGCAGCCGGGATTAGAACTGGCGCCCACATGAGATCCCATATGCGTGCAAGGTGAAGACTTCAGCCACTAGGCTACTGTGCTGGGCCCTGTGTGCTGAATTTAAAAGAGGTTTCTGTGGTGGGACTCAGCAGAGTGAGGACACTGCGGAGGCCTCCTGGGGCTCTGTGTTCTCCGACTTCTCGCCAGCCACCCTCCCTCCCGGTTTCTGGGAGCCCTCTGGGGCGGGAGCACCCTGCTCACCACCCTCAGAGCTGTCACCCCCCAGCTAGGAAGAGCTTCAGTTGTTTATTCAGACCATGTGATTGTTTTTTAAGATTCTGATCCTGAAAATGAACTCGGTTTTCATTTTGGAAGGACCCAGCTATCTGGCCACCTTGATTCTTGTGTGTTACGTCTAGCTTCACCACCAGGGTGGCCCGCGGACTTCTGGAGACGCGTTCTCCGCTTATACCTGTGGCCTAGCCCTGATGCTCCGGCTTAGCCCTTGGCCACCCCTACCCTCCTTGGCCGAGGAGTCTCTCCGCTGGATGGTTCAGCCACCAGCCCCCTGCTGTATTGGGGCATCAGCTCCAGGGTTCTCCAAGTGAGGCCTGCCGGGAATCCAAAGTGAACACGGATGCTTCTGGATCTTTCTTTTCCTTCCTTCCTTCCTTCCTTCCTTCCTTCCTCTCTCCCTCCCTCCCTCCCTCCCTTTCTTCTTTCCTAGATTTATTTATTTTTATTGCAGAGTCAGATCTATAGAGAGGAGGAGAGACAGGGAGGAAGGTCTTCTGTCCACTGGTTCACTTCTCCAGCTTTCAGTCCCAGTTGGTATTTCTTCCCAGCCTCCAGCACTTCCTGGGAGTTAGCTGTTTCTCTGAGAAAGCAGCAGCTTCAGCAGATCCTGGCCCTGGTCCCCAGCCCCAGGGCTGAGCCCAGAGCCTGGCCTGTGATGGCAGAGGGGCGTGTCTGGATCCTGACCCCACACGGGCTGCTGGTGAGGCAGTGACTCTTCTGCCATAGGTCCGAGGCGCACGAGCTGTCCTGCAGCTGTACCCCGAAAACTCGGAGCAGGTAAGCCCCTGGCTGCCGCACGTGTTGGGAAGAGAGAGCAGGGCCCAAGACAACTAAGTCTTCCTCAACTTCCCTGGTGTTGCTGGCAGGTGACAAGGAACCTTGTGTTGATTGGTAGAAGGAGGAGGCCCCGGACATCCTTGCGTGGTCTCCATGGACCCCACCATCTCCTTTAATCCACTCTCCTAATGGCAGAGGACAGGGGGGAGGGGGATCTGTGGGTCAGGCATGGGTGAGG